GACATGCTTGGAGGATGTTGTGGAATACCATAACACTGATCCTGCTTGGTATAAATCATCCTAGCCCCATTCAATACCTCATTTTTCGTCTCCTTCCTTCATTCAGAGGCAATCGAGCCCCATGGCTGCTGGAAGTATCGCTTCGGCCGTGCACCAAGTAGCAGGCTTCGAACGAGGTCAATCTTTTTAGTAAACACTGATTGACATCCACCTACTCCGTTAAGATGGGGTCGGTCGAGAATTACATGGATTGACAGTGTTTAGCCAGTTATTATGCTCTATTCTTTTTCAGAATCGAGATCCTAATTATTTCAATGCGGTCTATTTCTCACTCAGCCTCTCTCAGTGGAAAGGGGTTCATTTAGTTATCCCTTTCATTTTACTCCTCCTATACCGTCTTTCATCCACTCAACACAACGCGTCACAAAATAGTTAAGCTGGCCAAATGCAGAAAAGAAAAGCTAACGTAAACCTTAGTTCATTGGTCGGGATCTCTTTTCGAGCTTTTATTAAACCATGTTTTATCAACTCCGAACTTGGCCTTATGCAGAATTGAGTGTTTGTGACTGTCTGATATCGGTCGTCCAATTGTGTACAATCGGTTTTCAACTGTATTCCACTCTGATGTTCAAGAGGTTTGAAGGGTGATGTTTGAAAGTGTACGGGAGTGAGTGACGAACATGAGATGCAAATGACAGAAAGTTATAATAATGGTGAGTTCATGACCACTGTTAATTCATCAATAAATCCATTGTAAAACAACTTGTAGACGTGTTTTGTGAAAGTTGACCGTTTTACGTTTGATTTGTGCCTGTGAGATTCCCGTTCTTTTAAACTTACACGCCTTCCTGTTGACTGGTCTCTTCCACTTCTGTAAATTAAGTGGCTGTTAGGAGGAGGACAGAATGATAGCATTTCTTACAAAATTGTTCTTCTGCCATCGTCGATGCCATCCACAGCATAAGCAATAGTGAGTGGTAGCATGAACAAATCTGCTAGTCGAACTGACCACATTGACAAAAGAGTGCAGTTTTGCCGCAGGGAATCCAGCAGCTCTGACCAAGATGAAAATTATCAATCAGTCGCTGAACACCACCATTTTAAATGGCTTTTGATGCGAAGATTGACAAGCTCTGCGATGGAACTGGAATGTGACTCTATTTAAAGCTAGTACTAACGCCACTGTATATTGAGGTTCCCATTCCCGACACCATGTCTTTCAGCCTTCTTGATAGATTCGTAAACAAACGGTTTCCGCACACTTGAGGGGAAGGAGGCAGTCACCGTCCTCATTGCCATGCGTGATCCATTTCTTCCACTTCTTCCGTTAATAGTAACCACTTTTGATTGCCTAACAAAAGTATTATGTCTGCATTGGCTGTGATACCATAATCTTAGGCTGTTGCGCTGTAAGACGGACGCTTTCATATTCAAGTGTTTCTCAGCAAAACAGGGTTAAATATGGTCCTCGTAGAGCAGAACTTTTGATGTCAGAGTATTTAAGTCTCTCTTACATGAAGACGGGACATTGAGAGCTGTACACGGTGATGAATAGTTTAATCGATGTGCATCTTCCGGGTACAATTGTGATGATATAAACCTAAACTGAGTGAGTGATGCAGATAATTGTGCTTCGGTTGAAGATTGCGATGTAGGTGCTAATATGGGTGTTTAGGCGACTTGAGAGGCGCTGAAACCTCAGCGCAAGTGATACTCCTTGCTTTTACTTTTTAAGGGCTAAATTAACACCCTTTTTCTTAGCAATCACTGCAACTGACCGGCGATCGCCTTACTACCTAGTTGCCAACCCTTGGATAGCATTTAATTCACTGCAAAAGAGTACTAATTGGAGTCTTTTTCTACTGATTATTTAACTGACTTGACTTCTCTACTTGTAAATGCACAACGTTTGTATTGAGACAGTCAACAGCTATTTAAAATGAGCACAGTGCAAATGTTACCTTGTAGCGCCACTTGTCGAGGACCATTTCGAGTCACTTAGACAAAAGAACACTTCTTCCTGTCGTCTTTAATCCTCACTTGATCCTTACTACAGACTCAGTAGTCTTGTGCGCACTCCACCCACTGTCTGCGGTCATTTAAATCTTTGGATTGATATAAGTAATTGTAGGCTGACACGATGTTGTAATCTGGCCCACGAGAAGAAGCGGATTTGACTTCGGCCAATTAAATTGGATAAAGGCGCATGTGGTGTCATAGCCCTCTTCTCTTCGCATCTTTTTACAGAGCCATAATGAATGGAAGGCACCCTAAAGGCTGAAATGTGGTGTGGTGTGGTGTGATGTCAGGTGGTGTTCTCTTACCTCGATTCTGCGTCGTAAGATTTCGGTTGAAGGGAAACCATCGTACAGGTACCGATTTTGCGAGCATATGCTTAAGCTCAGAAACCACGTTTCACATTGACAAGCGTAGTCGCACAAGGAGTTATCAGAAGTATTAGTTATCGCCAACATTGTAAATTGTAAATTGTAAAATTGCAAGACTTGGATGACCTGAGTCCTATAAAAAGATTAGACCATGTCGACACTAAAGTCTGTCCTGTGAATGCTGGATTGAGTTAAGAGTTATGCGAGGGTGTGAAGCATCATTTGTCTCAGCTGTCACGGTTCAATTCGGTGAAGTCTTGTCACTCAACGCTCTTGCACTACGACTGTGGTGCTTTATGACCCACTAATCACTTTCACTACCTAACTTGACGTGTTCGGTCTAATGTAAAGCTGTCACTACCATTTTCTGATCGAAACCTGTCTAGACTTCCCATCTTACTAAGGTGCTAGTTAATTTACTCTGATCCATTCGTAACTACGCATGTTGTCTCCCACTTTTGTTCTTATTAAGAATAGAGTAGTAGCTGTCGCCCTCATTGTTGCAATCGCGTATCATCCGCTTAGCCATCAGACTCGTCATTATGAATAAAGGTGATCGTCGAAAGCAAGCGTACTAGTGCAAAGTAGTGGGATGGGATTCGCACTGACGCCATATCGAAAATATTTATAGTCGTTCCGATAGTTTTGCTTTCATTCGGCGGATAGTTTGTACGACGGAATATTTTAACGCCTCCAGTCAAACCTCTGGATGGCAAGAAAGGCAGTGCTTTTACCCCACTTCGGAGACAGGTCTGTCTTTAGCACTCCATTTTGCCGCACGTTTTACATTTCTGACCTCTTGACTACTTGATTGGTAACTGTCAACAATGACTGTTCAAAAGGTAAATATAGGAATCGTAAAAGAGATAAACAATAGTCTTTTCTCGTTTACGCATTGCCGCAGGTTGGATAGACTTAAGAAATTAATATGAGTAGGTGGTTGGCTTGGAAGAGAGGTCCAGCAGAAAATGTGGTAATGCGGTACGCAAAGACAAACTAGTCTACCTCATCCACATTGCGTCGCTAGTAGTAAACGCACCATTAGAGGTAAATGAAACCGGTACGGATTCATCACCATAGCTGGAATGGTTGCATGTAAATTATTAACCTCACTAACTTCAACCACGTATAACAGCAACGGAAAGGCTCAACTAGCTCAGGCTCCTGATCATTGGTTGCTAAATTAACATGGAGTAGAGTGACCCTCACCAACCGGGCCAGTGTCCTGCGTGCCCGTTATAATCTCTGCCCATGGTCTGATCTCTCAAAGTGATCCAGTGGATGTCACTCTCCTCGTCCATTTCGATGTCGTCATGGGGTAGTGAAATGGCATAATAGCATAATGCGTGTTTGAGCCTTAGAGCACCACGCTAATTGCGGGAATGGCACTTGCACAGGGACCTCAGCTGCCCCCATGTGACTTGAACATCTACTGTAGCATGCGCCATGCACCACCCACCCAATGAACTTTCAGAGGTACGACAGTTGCTGACAGGTGAACCTATTTTTAACAGCCACTCACTGTGGGCGTCCGTCCATAGCCCATTATTATCGATTTCATCAGGAATCGCGACTCCATACAGGCGCTCAAAGTGTTGTCTGCCAAACAGATTGGCGACAGATTGTCGCCTATCTAACCGCTTTGAAGTGACTAGAGGCGTCTTCTGCGCCCACAGAACTCTTCATTCTTCTATAAATGAGTTAATTTCATTGTCCTTTTGCGAATAAAGAAGGCAGTATGGATAAATTGTTCAGTTTTACTAACTTCTTTCAAAAAACATTAAAAGAGGATTCGTGCAGCGTGTGTTTGGGTGAATGGAACCGCGAATGAATATAAATAAGTGCGTCAAAGAAATTAGACAAAGGTGCGAGCAGATGAGCAAGAAAGGGAGGAAGACATGGAGAAGTCGAGAACAGGGGCTAGTTAGCATTGCAAAACAATGTGCGCCTCCTAGATCAACGAGGCAAACATTGGATTGTGGCGGCAGATGGACGGTCCGTATTCTTCGTATTGGGCGCGCGTGTGACAAGCTGTATAGAATTCCGACTAAAAGTCAAAAGAGTCAAATGTTTACTGGCCTCCGACAGCAACGTCAGGCAAAAGGAGTTGATGAAATGGGAATGAAAGGGGAAAATAAAGTGATTGAGAAGAGTCCAAGGCACTCAAAACGACACTCCATTGGCATCCGAGAGGTGGAAAATCCCTTATACCTTGCTCAGAGCATTGGTTGATCAGGTGCTTGCACACCTTTTACTCAAATACCCATTATTCCCAAAAATTAAACTAAAAATCACCTCTCATATCCAGAGCTTACGATACAGAGTAGCCATTTCTAATCGCCTGAAAATAACGCGCACCAAATTGGGGAGGAGGATGCAATTCACCTATTTTAACCCACAATCTCTCACGATGGCAATTTACTTACAAGGATTCCAAAAGACCATTTTTAGCAACAAGGATAAAGGAGAGGTAGCAGTTCAAAACTCACAGTGCTAGCAAGAACCGATCCGCCAAACCACACGGCGTAGCGTTGCATTTTGTGCGAAATGACGTTTACCTCTATTGGGGTAGGCTAAACAACAAAAATAAACTTCCTGTTAACTCAGCAAGGGTTCCTTAACTAATATTTTATCCTATCTATTAATCAACGCTAATCAGTGGTGACCACTTGGTGGGCTTCAACAAGACTTCACATGAGCCACAATTGTCACTACTGGCCACTAATTTATGTGAAGCAGTCACACAAACCTTCATCCTTCCGCCACTTAGCTTCTCCGCCATTTCCAGTCTTGCATCCACGATACCTTGAATGTCTCGTTGAATACGACGACCCAGATACTTGAACATAGAACTGCCTCCAGAAAGGACTATGTTCTAAATGAGTTGAATGATGCAAATGCAAAATAAACTAACGGCATAGAGACCACGTCGAGCATCGATTGGAGAGTTTTGGATCACCCCATCAACAACAGAACTGATGGACTCAGTATAGTCCCGGTTAACAAACTAAAACGGAGACCAAAAATGATGGGCACCGACATCACTTTACATTCGGGAAGATTGATAATTAAGTAGTATAATGAGGGGAGGAGCGTACTTCAGGATGGAAGAAAATCTCAGGAGCGAGGAAGCGCTCATACCCAACGTCAAAGGTAATGGGGGGGTGTTTTGGATGTTCGACAACATCTTTAACCATGAGCCACTTCTGAGGTTCGGCGTCGTATTTCTGGAATTCCTTGGCCATATCCGAACAGACATAGCAATAGCTATGTAACAAAAAAGGCAGGTTAGAACGCATTCAACCTTGCAACCCTTAGACTCCTCTTTCTGTCACATCTGATCCTCATCACTACATGCATCTGCTATCTATCTGCTGTAGTTGAACAGAAAGGAGAAAAATGACTAAACAAGCAATTTCAAAGCATAAATTCCATCCTCCGTTCAAAATGACCCAAAGTTGCGCAAAAGGAAATGGACGTCGAAATTATCTTGCATATCCTCCAAATTATTTTAGAAGACGACCTAGATCGCTACAATGACTCAACCCCCTTACCTCTCCTTAACCTTCCTTGCTACCTCCATGGATAGATCCGGTGGAATCCCCGGTTCCCGTTCACGCAGAAGTTGTTGAATGAACGCGGTTATATCTCTGCCAGCAATTGGAATGTGTTTAATGCACGAGCCGACCACATATCCGTCAACGACGGGCATAATGTGCGTAACACCATCACCAGAGTCAATAACTGTCCCCGTAAGGGATCGCTCTCCGGCTTTCTTTACTCCCCAAGAGGCTACAAGAGCCAGCATTGCCTATAAGATGGATTGAGCTAGTGGTAACCGATACACCTAAGTGAGCAGTCAAAGGTGTATAAGAGGGCAAATGAATGACGAGATAGATGCCACATTAACCTGCACAGCGATGTAAAGACCAGGAATGTTGAAAGTCTCAAACATAATCTCCGCCAGATACTCTCGATTCTCGGGCGTATTCAGTGGAGGTTCAGTCTACAAAAATTTGCAAAATCTCACGTTAAACGACGAACTTTGGGAGAAGGCTGACTCAGAATTTAAGCGGAGGTATATACCATTAGGAAGTAATGATCCTCAGGTTCAGCGCGTAACACTCCAAAAATAACCTGCTCCATATATCGCTGCATGAGATCCCAGTCCTCGATAATACCATGTCGGATGGGCCACTAGATGGAACAAAACCTTTAAGGAGCTAAGCAGAATGAAAGAAACCGAAAAATGATGAGAAGACAAATACCTTTAAAGAAAAGTCATTTTTACCCTCGGCGGCGATGGCTTCATCGCCAATAAAGAAGTTAAGATCATCGAGCCCAGTGCCAAGACGTCGTGCTTCACGATTACCAATTTTTCCATACTCCTTTACAGCAATGCATGATGGGATTATGCATTGTGGTTGCGTATTCCCAGCATAACCGATTTTAGAATAGCTAGAAATTATCAAGTTTTCTCCGTGAACAAACCAAAACTGCAAATCCAAACCCGCCTGCACCAAACGAATAAATTCAAGCAAAGCCAAATAGATTAAAATCGTTAAAAGACCTCCAAAACAAGTACCCAACTGCGAAGGTGAAAAAACAATATTGAATTAACACCTAATCTAAAAATATGTCAAAGACTTCGAAAACTCTCCCTTAGCAAGTATGGTGCTCATAAATTAGCCCAGCGTAGTTAAAAATTTACCCTGTTCCATTGTCTACAACTGCAGCAGGAAGTCGATTTGACATTTCCAGAGGGTTTCTACGTGCCGCTCATGCCATCGTTTATCTAAACGCAGTCACAAGATAGAACCTAAAAGCTGTTTTGGGATCAAGTTTGATCATATAGGTTCGAAAACTATTTGTTATTAATGTCACCCGGAATATATAAACCAAATTAAAACCTACGTCAAACAAGCCATTTTTGCGGTAGTCTTGAGATTTTGGAACGCCTAAATTGCCCTTCACCTTGAAATAATTTGTACTGCTCCTCCATCCATAGTGTTCTGTTTAACTGTTTTATCACCACAAGGGCAAGAACATATGCAGTTAATGTAATATATACTAGACTGTTTAAGTTGACTTTCATAGAGGACAGGCGGAAAGCGAATTCGAACGCGACACTGGTGCGTGAGGATCGTGAGGAAACCCTCTAACGATGATAACTGCTATTCAGCTCATCTGTACTCCTAACCCTGTTCTTCTTGTATTTATTATCCGGTTAATCTATTGCAACTAACCCTCTCTGAAAGACCGTGGTTCAAGAGCACAAGAGTAGGCAAGCAGTTTTTACATTTGAATTTATTTTTGTACGTGTAGCATTCTTAGATTTCTCCTGGGTATGAAAAAGCTTCATGATGGGCGGAATACATAGATTACAGGAGAAAGAGGACACGGCGTTGAGCCCTGGTATGACCCAAAGGTCAGTTCACGCGTGCAAGGGCAAAACCAACACCAAGGTGGACACCATATATCAGAGGGTCTGCAATTTTACAAGTCTCCCCACCAAGTAAATTAAGGCATTGTTGTGGGCTTAAAGCATATATTCTGGGAAAAATGTAGCAGGTCTAATTTTGGCCCGAAGGTCATTCAACGCAAATACAAAGGCAACCCCCAGATATCAGGTGATCGCAAGTGTAATGCTTTGCTTACGTGACTATCTGACGTTTGCGGTCACTTTAAAACTTGTCTGGGCCCAGTACACATGGGCTGGCCTTCGGGCCACGCTCAGGTCCCCATTTTTCCTATTGTTTTCGGAATGCATGTATTCAACCTCCCTTATGCCTTCTACTACCTCATTTAAAGCCTCGGGACGCTACAACATGAACGAAGTACTGCGTCGTCCTCAGCGTTCCCCATGGTACACTCCAGGCGCCAGCTATCACTGTAGAGTCTGCCTGCCTGACCTCATGGCCTTGAAACTTGGATTTCAGGAAAATAGAGGAGGAGATGGAAATCTGAAGTCAGTCGGAATTGGTGTTTGAAAATTCATTTCCTTTGTTAACTTGTAGACTTTGCCCTCGTAGTTGTAATATATACCAATTGTTTAAGTGGACTTTTATAGAAGAGAGGCGGGAACCAATTGGGAACGTGTATCACGTGCGCGAAGATGGTGGGGAGTCCCTCTCTAGTTGATATCGGCTATTCGGCTCATCTGCATCCCAATCTCCATTCTTCCTGTACCAAATGCCAAATAAATCATCTGCAACCAATCTCCTCTTGAAGTCCGAGCTTCAATGGCAGGAGGGTAGGCAGGCAGTTCCTAGAGTAGCCGACCAAGAGAGTGTCTGTGTTGGGGCGTACATTGTTGTGACGACCGCCCTTATACTGGGCACGCACTTGCGTACATAGAATGAAATCAATCGTTGGTTTAAGAGTCTTCAACGCTAAATTTAAAAGTCCGTCTTATTGGTAGTAGATGCAATGCTTTTATGACTGCTTGATGTTCGCCGGAATAGCCTTTTAGCCATGCTCAGACCCGTTTGCTCCGCTCTCTTCGGAATGCATGTATCCAGCCTCACTTTCTGCCTTCTTGTACCTATGGGAAGTCTCGAGACGCTACAGCAGATATAATACCTTGTTCATGTGGCCACTTTGTGTCCGGGGGTTATCTTTGTTGCTATCTGACTCTTATGCGCATGGACAGACTCTCAAGCCAAGCCAAGGCTCGATCTCTTCCGCTGCTCTTAGAATACATGAAATCAGTCCGGCTCAATGCCTTCAACCTAATGGGAAATCTCGTGCCGCTACGCAAGAGGCAGCAGAATGCAAATAAATTTATTGGAACTTTTTTCTAGTGCCCGCTGTTCTCAGCATACTTTTGTTCTTTTTTCAAATGTTTTTTTATAGGGTGAGGAAAGAAATCAATTTGAACACGGATCCAACGCGTGGAGAGTGTGAAAATCCCTTCCCAGGCTGACGTCGATTTTCCGCCTCCTCAATCCTCATCCATTTCCATTCTTTTGTTACACGATACTGGACAAAACTCCCTTAACTAACTCCTCCTGAAGTCCGAAGTTCAGAGACCTGTGGGTGAGTAGGCAGGCTCCACATGCGCTTTGCTTGCATGGGACCTTTAAAAAACCTGGTGTGCCTTATGCTGTCCTCGCAAAAGGAATTTAAATTGCCTCAATCAGATTTATCGCACATTAATATGTCAAAAAATTGTTTTTGCAAAATAGTACATGATCACGATTGCGGTTGGAATAAGTCAGCTTGCATATTAAAGCGAAACTACAATTGCACTAATTTGCGCTGTAGCTTAACTATGAATTCTTACTAAATCTCCCATTTTACTCATGGTTTCTATATATTTGCTTTTGGATAAAATTAAAAAGCGCTTATGATTGGCCATAAGCGTACGAAGAAGCCAAGACATTTTGTGCCCTTACTCTTTGTTTGTCTCTCTCAATACGCATTTATCCGTGTGCTCCCCTTATATAAGTAAGCTGATTGACTGCCTTAGCACTCGCGAAGCTGTCTGGTATTATGTCTCACAGTCTCTGGGAAGAGGAGAAGAGCGCTACACCTAAAGCCCCGTTCTCAAAAGGGAAGTTTGCGGACCTCCCAACTGTTGCGCAACCTTTCGTCGCACATTGGGTATGTTCACAACTTAAACATCTATTCACTTACTCTTATCAAGGCTAATGTTTGTGCTCCAAAGGACATCTTCATTTGCGATGGTAGTAAAGCTGAAGCCGACAAAATCACTGAAGATCTCCTTAAAAATGGGGTACTTCGCAAACTAACTGCCTATGAAAACAATTACCTTTGCTGCACTGATCCCAAGGATGTTGCTCGTGTTGAGGCAAAGACTTTCATATGCACTCCAGATAGATATAAAACGGTTCCGCATGTTGCTGAAGGTGTTAAAGGTATCCTTGGTCAATGGATTTCTCCAAAGGATCTTGATACTGCCGTCAGGGATCGTTTTCCTGGCTGCATGAATGACCGTACTCTGTACGTCATCCCCTTCTCCATGGGCCCAATCGGATCCCCCTTAGCCAAATACGGCATCCAAATCACTGATTCTCGATACGTTGTTCTCTGCATGCGCATCATGACGCGTATGTCGCCTAAAGTCCTTGATTACATCAAGCAGCAGAATGATTTCGTCCGCTGTCTTCACTCCATCGGTTTGCCTCGTCCTCATGAAGGTAGGTCTCTTTTTCCACTTCCTACTTCTCTGTTTAGGTGTTAAAGTGATCAATAATTGGCCTTGCAACCCTGAAAAAACAATCATCTCTCACATTCCTGACGATCGCCTGATCATGAGCTTCGGCTCGGGATATGGTGGGAACTCTCTTTTGGGGAAAAAGTGCTTCGCTTTGCGCATTGCCAGTCGCATTGCTTACGATGAGGGCTGGATGGCTGAGCACATGCTTATCATGTCTGTTACCAATCCTAAAGGTGAAGAGAAGTTTGTGTGCGCCGCTTTCCCCAGTGCTTGCGGTAAAACCAACATGGCCATGCTCACTCCTAGCCTCCCTGGTTGGAAGATTATGTGTGTTGGTGATGATATTGCATGGATGCGGTTCAATGACAAGGTAATGGAAAATTTTGTATTCTTTCATTACGTACTTCTAGGGTGAACTAAGAGCGATCAATCCGGAGTCTGGTTTCTTCGGTGTAGCTCCAGGAACCAACCACAAGACCAATCCCAATGCTCTTGAGTGCTGCATGAAGAACTCAGTGCTCACTAATGTGGCTGAAACTGAAGATGGTCGATTCTTCTGGGAGGGTCTAGAGGCTGAATACAAACCCGAGACTAAGCTCACGACATGGCTAGGTGAAAAAACCACAGTTGGTGCAAAGACTGCTTCTCCCAAAGCCCACCCAAATTCTCGTTTCTGCTGCCCGGCGTCTCAGTGTCCCATCATTCATCCCAAGTGGGAGGATCCGGCCGGTGTACCCGTCTCCGTTTTCATGTTTGGTGGCCGTAGACCCGAGGGCATTCCTCTTGTCTATGAAGCCCGTACTTGGAAGCACGGTGTAATGATTGGTGCTCAGGTTAAGTCCGAGGCTACTGCTGCTGCAGAATTTAAGGGTATGTTGGTTTCTTTTATGCTCAATCCACCTTTCCGACCAGTCATAGTAGAAGCATTTCTTGGGTGACTTCCAGGTCGCCAGGTCATGCATGATCCCATGGCCATGCGTCCGTTTATGGGATACAACTTTGGCAAGTACCTTGAGCACTGGTTGTCAATGGAGAAGCCTGGTCGTCATATGCCTCGCATCTTCCACGTCAACTGGTTCCGTCTGGACAGCAATGGGCGTTTTGTTTGGCCCGGATTCGGTAATAATATTCGTGTGATTGAATGGGCTCTTCGTCGTGTTGCGGGTGAGGATATCGCCGTGGACTCGCCCATCGGTCTGCTGCCAAAGAAGGGTTCGATCAACATGGAGGGTCTGGATTGCGATTGGGATTCTATATTTGGCCTTGATAAGAAGTACCTCCTGGAGGACATTGAGGAAACCACCAAGTTCCTTGATGATCAAGTGGGTGTGGATCTGCCGAAAGCCGTAAGGGAGGAATTGGAGGAGCAACGCAAACGCATCCAGGCCATGTAAACCGTTGTGTGTGCGTGTATTTAGTCACCTCTGCTCCCTCTCTCTACTTCATCACTTGTTTGATTATCCGGTTTTCAGCATTTTCTCCCCCCACCACTTCCGCCTTGGAATCAATTTGATACCTTAGCTTTATCGCGCTAATCTGTTCCCCTCCTTTTACTACTACTCCCCAATGTGCTGTAGTTGTTTTCGTCAATAAAAGCACTTTCGAGTGGTGAGCTTCTCTAGCGTTCGTTGAGGTGCTCATCCAGGAATTTGATGTGGAGTGGCGATAAATTAGGGTCTTCGGTTCGGTTCGCCTAGTGGAGCAAAGTGCTTAAGAACCTTCAGCAGCGGAAAATTGAGGCTTCTAGTGTTCTTTGTAGATGCATTTTAAAGTTTGGTTAGGAACTCGTCAACTGTATGACTCAAGGCTAGGCGACATCACACCTGGTCCAAAAATGAGTCCGAGAGTTCAGTAGCGTCTTGATCATGCATAGTGGAATCTTCCTCCTATCAGCCACATTCTTCTATCCTCCCTTTTCTCCTGCCCTTTGTCACACCGTCTCGTCCATTTCTAGTTTCACAAATTATTCTATATTATTTCTCAAACTCTTTCCCAATCTCCCTATACTATTTACCATGCTATTTTGTGCACTGAGATAAGTCAAAGAAAAGCCTATCGTCAAATTTATCTTTCTAATTTATCCCTACCAATCAGGTGTAAAGCGTGAAGCTGAAAGCTTCAACTGTTATCCCCTCCATAATTCAAAATAAACCATCTTGTTCAAGCAGGAAAGGGCAAAGTTCTTGAAAATTCTAGAACATGGGGTATATTTATGCAAACTAGCTGCTGGGGTACCAATCAGAGAGCCGAAATTGGTTGCACGTGCGCACCATGTCCGTATGTGTATTAGGGCGAGAATCGGTCGATAGTGGTGTTGCCACGTCCACATTTGTACTGACGCACTCTAACCCCATGCGGTGTTATGTTACTCGCATTAAATCGCAGTTAACGCCTTCCTATCTCTTGCTATCTTTTTCATTATACTCCTCTTCCGGCTATGCTCAAAGTTTTGGCAACAAATCGGACTTCAAAACCTGAAGTTTAATTTATGAGGTAAAAGGTCGCGCGTAGCTATCTTATATTTAAATCCGGCTCAAATCCGACAAGTACGTATCTCTTAGGTCTCAAGTGGCAAGTCGATTTATGGAAGTTCACTTTTCAAAATGAATAGTTTTTCTTGCTTAATCTTAAAGCAAATCGTCTCCTCACTTCATCAACTTGGCTTGCAGTGTCCAGTGTACGTGAATGTCTAGGCTTATTCATTCTCCGCACTAAACAGCTTTGCAGACGTACGCCACCGGTTTGGCCAGTTGTGATTATTAATGGCACCTGAGCTTGTAAATTGGGAACTAGACCAACAAGTTTCTAGTTTTAATAAGACCATTAAGATGTGATGCTTTCCTATATTTGTAAATGCTGAAACACTAAGATACTTTCCTTAATCTTCTTGCCGCTAATCCACTCGAGAATGGTCCGGGACGAGGGAACAATGGCTGTAGGCTGTAGGGGAAGACAGGAGCAGAAATATGTCAGCTGGGGTACATGGTCTCAGAAAGCCTCATCCACTGGCCTCATATAGCAGCTGAAGAATCAAGAAGATCACCTCCTATAACACCTTTGGCGTACTTTTTTATGCGGTTGAGCCAGCTTGCGTCACGCTCACAATCTCTAGCATTTATTTTTTGTTCCTAGTCGCTTTTCTCGGTGCTATCGCCCTTGTCAGGGCCCAAGCCCGTGCTGTCACCATGTCACGCTTATTTAAAGTACCAACTAGAAGTAAAGACAAATTAAATGTCATTACTCGTATAGGCGACAAGTCTACAAAATGCCTTCCGATGGCATGCCACTGTTATAGGAAAGACAAGGCTAGCTGAATTTCTGTCTCCAGGATCTGTCATCGCAGTGATGATTGAGATGACATATGTGCAAATTAAATTTAATTGACTGCCAATGGTCGAGCGAGCAACTAACTGCCAAGATGATAGATTTGTGAGGTCGTAGTAAAACCTCATTAGATGGCACCAAGAAGAGATCTAATGGAAGTAGTTACATGCACACCTTTGACAAGTCTCAATCGCAGCAGTTAGCGAATATATAATTGTTTGAACAAGAAAAAAATAAGTGTTTTGGTTGCTTTAAAACACAGAGTGCGGTGAGGCGAAAAGTGGGACCAAGCACATTTAAGAGTGGTAAAATCGCCCCTTCCATTCGACTGAGGCTAAAGTAAAGGGAATACCAGTAATAGCACGAAGCTTAGCTCAGCTACGTGAGTTCTTAAGGCGTTTATGACCCTGTTGTATACCATAGGGATTTCCAAAAATATTGTAAAAGTTCTGGAAAAAGGAGTAAAGTTGATTTTATTTGCCTTGGGAAACGGTGCAAACGGTGAAACGGTTCGAGAATCGACATTACTCTCAACCCTTCTGGATAATAATGACGTCTTGAAAATAACCATTACAGATTTTTTTAACGCAATTTGAAAAGTGAAGTGGATTTGAGCATCTACCTTTCAAGTGCCTTTGACCCTGTCGCTGAAAATATCACAAAGAATAGCTTCAATCTCATTATGAAGGTTTCATTTATCCAACTTTTTAGACATTTGGAAATACCTGTCACGTTGTTTGAGCACAAAGACTATTTCCAGGCCATAAGTTAAAGACCGAATGCATCGGAATCTAGCTGGCTTCCCAAAGACCGACACGTCACCGCCAAGAACAGCAAGCTGGTAACGCAAGGTATGATAACGTTATCTCTGCTCACATAGCTTAGCAAAGTTTGGGAAAACACGTCCAAGAAAGTATTAAAACTAGCCATAGTGAGGATGGCCTTTAAGGTGAACAGGACTCATTGTCAAAGGTTCATGATCGTCATACTTGCTGGATGTTTACCAATGACAACTACATTACCACTGAAGCGGAGGCATTGTGGCGTTGGTTGGAGAGTTTCTCTTTTTATGGTCATCACGCGGCGTCATTGGTGAAGACAATGGCAAAGTGGCTCTCTCAATCATCGCATCTCAAATGGAAATGTTAAGGTAAGGCAGAGGGTTGCCATCAGCCTTGTAACTTGTCCATATCATTAAAGCCTACCTAAACGCCTCTTGATGCTGAGCTAAAGACAGAGTCGTTCCTAATCCCTGCTATAACCTCACCTTTATTCGAACTGGCTTGGGTTACAGCTTTGAGTCAGAATTCCAGGTCCGTTTTGCGGAAAATTATCTTCCTGAAGACATTAAATAACAATACTTATGATCCTTCCGACGTTGAGTGCTGTAGCAAGGCTTTATCCAGCACTTATTTCCGTTGACGACGGTAAAAGTGAACGGAAAAGGACTTGCTTCGTAAAGCTTCCAGGATTTCCTCCGCCTATTCGGTATTGCTCTAATTTACTCCACGAAAGTCATCAGTGATGTGACAACTGCTCGTAAGTTCTCTTCTGGATACGATGAACTCTTATCTTGCAAATTCATTTGTAGCTTTAAAGCCGTACAAGTACTCCAACATTTGGCATCTCAACTACTAAACAACACCTAGAACATGGGTGATGGAATGTTGAAGGGCTTTAGCGTAAGCGAAGGACAATCAGCTTTAATGCCAATGTGAGATGCCTTGAGGGACCGGCATCTGATATGCATACTTGTGGGCACATTCTAGGCGTAACCTATGCCAGCAGAAGCTACTCCATTGATGATCATAGGCAAAGGGTCCAGTTTAGGCTCTCACTTGCCTCAAAACATGAGAATAAAACACAAGTCAATCGATTAACAAAAGTCCTAATCGAATGTTAGTACCTTAAGGATCGAAGTTGTGCTCTCAGATGACTCCGATTGATTGGCCTCAGTGAAGCGGAGATGTACTCAATACCCCAATGAAGATCGATGATGAACCTACGACACTTGACTCATTGGTATCATGGCTACCAGGTAGATACAGCTGTTCCGTTGCTCTTAGCATTGCCAATTAACTCAGTTAGCGAAGACAGCATTGGTGAAGTCCAGAGTCTATCCTAACTTTATTAATGGCGTAGACGAAGCCCAAGCACTCAGAGGTCTTAATAATCTCCAGTTGGGAAATTGGCGACCCGATTTCAGGCCCTCAAACTCTGTACCTTGATTACGCCTATTAATCAAATGGAATAGTGGACGGCACATGCCTTTAAGTGGATGCAAGGAAGTGGATGTATTTCGGGTCATCGATTCCACTTTCGCATGCTCTACAGCCATTTGCAGCTATAGAAATCTCGCTGACGTGGCACGGCTGCGCTGTGTCCTCAATATACCCCTTTTGTCCAATGAGTCACAGGACTGCGTTAAAGGGAATGGCTACAGGCTGAAAACTCCCGCATAATTTTATCGTCCAACATGACCTCAATTACTGCCCTACTGATGCTGTGCCCACCCTCTAGTCGGTGTTTCCGCTATCATATACATTGCTTATTTTCTCTATACCGGCTAACTTCCTTCTGGTTGATGAGGCGAATGGTTTGAAAATGAGGAGCTTCTAGGTAATGATGTGGAGAGCAAGACTATCACAAATCAGACGGTCGCATAGGTCGAGGGTAATCCATCGAAGGTCTTCACACGACTTTTACAAAGAGAATCTGACCTTCCTGACCCGTTATGATCGTGATTTCATAGCTGTTTATGTGAATGTCCGTTTGGCCGTGCAACTCGCTCGAAACACTAATTCAGCCACAACATTCTGTACGTAAATAATAAAAATCGATGCACCACTCCGAAATGCTTAAGTTTAGCCAGTAAGTGGATGCGGTATCAGTTGAAACCGGAAATTCACTTCGGTTTGGTCGCCGTCTTATGCATGAGTCTCAATGCATTTACTGACAGGCACCGTAGCTATCGCCGGGGCGGCTGCCGAGGTATTTATGCAAGGGGGCGCGAGAAATGAAAAGGTAGTTGTAAACGGTTTCGGAAACGACTATCAAAATGATGCATTGA